CATATATACATACACAGACACACAGACACTTACGTATGTGTGTGTATGTGTGTATGTATATCTATATATTGATATAAATAGATATATATTATGTCTTCAGGCTATTATTACTATTCCAAATGTTCCCATATGAATTCAGGTGTGGTCTCTATATTTGATATAAATGTGTCTTTATTCAATTTTAGTTCCAGGACTTGTTTGGTGTCCAAACTGCACATGAAACGTCCCCTTTTTTATATTTTTTTGCATAAAGAAACATGTCCATTTAGTCCAGAGGCTCTTGCTTTATTCGAATGACAGAGGGTGCACGAGACGTCCTTCTAAGTTCTCGCCTCAGTACGTATTCACTGAATTGGGAAGAGTCCACCCCTCCTCCGCACGAGCCAATAATCTCGAATCCTCTTTGCTGCAACCTCTCAAGTACCTGCAAAGAGAGGGAAGACATGTAAAATAAAACCTGATGAAAGGCTGCTGATCAATTAGCTGCAGCCAAACCATAAGCCAGTGGGGACCAACCTTTTGGCAGGCGTACCACGAATTATCCCTGCACTTCTCCCAAGTGTCACTTTGACTACCTTCCTCTGCCTGATCTACTGCTCTGCTTCCTGCTTCCTTCCCTATTTATTGCTATGCAGCTGCATGCCACATAAAGAAGCTACCAGAGCCACTTGTGGTACCTGTGGCACAGGCTGGGCACCCCTCATGTAAACTGTGGTCCAGGTAAACAACAAAAATGTTCCATGTCAGCCGATGCTACCAAATCATCTTAATGAGATAATTCCCTAGAGAGGGTTATGATTTTTCTTCCCAACTTTCTGGATTTACAAAGCTACTTAAAAAAAAGACTCATTGCCTGCATGAAACTGTGGGCTGACCTCTGCTGACAGTGGCCACAGAGCACTAAGCAAACCACGTAGAGTCAGATTGCTTTGTAACTTTGAAAAAATATGGTGTTTTTCCATATGTGTGTCCTCCTCTCTCCCCTCCCCAATAGACTGCATTCTCTGTTGCATAGAACTTCAAATGTGAAAAACATGCATGCAAGATCCCATAGCTGATCTGCAGTGAGAGTAACCAGTGGTGATTCAGCTGTATTGGGGTAAGGTAATAATCACTGCATTTGCTGGGCGAGCAAATGTTAACACTGTCGTTTCTTCAAAATAGAAGCCAACAGGAATGCAAAAGCTTTCTGGCAGTTGTACTTTATTATCTATGGTAAAACAAAAGCCTGATTTTCTCCCCAAATTCGGGGTTTATGGAATCTTATATACTCATAATTTTGTTCATTTTTCAGAACCCTAGTGTACCTCCAGTGGGAAAGGAGTGGGGCAGGGACCCAATGGACTTCAATGTGCTCAAACTCTTTGAATATTGCCTGTGCTTAGTTAGTTAGAGGGAATGCAGGTGTGACCTTTTAAGACTGTAAATCTAGAGACTACACTTCCCAACACCAATTCCAGGAGGGTTATGCTAAGGGGGGCAGAGTTCTGTTTCCACCCTGCCATTTTTATTACCTGAATTATGCCTGAACATCTAAGTTGAATACACTCCTACCCCTGCAGATACAACTCTTTCCATTCATATTGCCCCTTGGGCTCCATCAGGAAGCTACCAGCAATATCTCCACCTCAGCAACAGAAGAAACTTTACAGGGATACAGAATGATGCAGCATTAATATTTGCTTGAACAGCGGTCATCAACTTTTTGGCCCCCTCTATCAGATGAGTGATGTGGGGTTGGTCTGCAGGTCAGATCCAGCGTAGTGTCAAGCATGTGAGGTTAGTCCACCAGTGTGATCCAACATATGGGGCAGTGTCATCTGGCTGAGGGAGTCCCCGTGGGTCTGGAAATTTGGCAGTGGGGGAGTGGTGGCAGTATTTATGCTGTTGTGGCTCCCCCACCACCAAATTTCTGGACCTGTAGGGAGCACTGTGGGCTAGATTACATGACTTTGTGGGCTGGATTTAGCCTGTGGGCTGCAGGTTGAGCACACTGCACTAGAACATTTCTTGGACTCCATAGGGAGGGGGCTACCCTCTCCCACTTCTAGTACTTTCCCACCCCCAGAAGTTTTGATCCCCCCCTAACCAGTTTAAATGGGTTCTGGGGACAGAAGGTTCATTAGCAGAGCTTCTTCCTCCCAACTGCTTTTGCTCCTAGCCATCCATAAGGAAGGAGGGAAATCAGAGTTCATCACTTGGCAAACGATCATAGTGCATAACAGGACCAGGAAATACGGAAACCAGGGATGGAGGGAAGCAGATGACCAGAAATGGGGCACTGACATTGCCTGTCTCATTCTGACATGCATAACCACAGGTAGGTAAAGTCTCTCTGACTAAACATGCTAATTACACAGGAGGAGGAATAAGGATGCAAAACCATTAAAAGGGTTAAGTTTAAAACAACACAGCTGTTTTCCTTTGTTACATGAACAACTGATTTATTTGATTTAATGCTGTTTCATTAGACTTATTTCAATTTAACCACAAAAGCAAAAGCTTCCCTACTCATGATCAAATGTGGGACACCGGAAGAAAAACTGAGGAGAATATGCTGCAGGGGAGGATGTCCGAGTTGTTAGGATACTAGCCTGGGACTTGAAATCCAGGTTCCCTGCTCTGCAACTGATTCTGTGTGTGACCTTGGGCAAATCCTTTAGTACATGCCTCTTCAGTTCCTCATTCATAATTGGATATAATTGCCACTCTTCTACCTCACAGGGCTGTTGTGAAATTGAATTCATTAGAGACTGCAAGGCAGTCAGATGTTACAGTAATGAGGGCATGCAGCACTATTTAAGAATGATGATTCTCACCCTGTAGACATTCTGACCTGTACATACTCAGTTCCTCTGAAATCTTCCACTTTTATTTATGCTCCTAAAAATAGCCATAGGTGACCTATATTAGGCAGCCAATCCTGCCAATGTATGCTCTAAACTAAGGGAAAATTAACATAGCTCTCATGTTTCAGAATACAGGCCATAAAAATCTTACTCCAAGATGTAACTAGCCAGTATATCAGTGGTGTTAAGATACAGCCTGCGGAGCCGCATCATCCAGGCCCCAGCACTGTCCCTGGGTCGCAGGTAAACTCATGTACCATACTCAGTGCCTACTTCAGGACCCACACTGCATGCAACACTTGCATGGGGCCAGTCTGGGACACTGCCCTGCATGCTGGAGGTGGGGAAGGTAGTCTGTGGCCCTGATCTGATCTGTTGGGCCAGCCCCACACCATTCATCCATCCTGTGGACCAGTCCCACACCATTCATGTGGCCAGTTTAAATGGGTTCTTGAGACCATGGGGCCAGATGAGTTCAACACCCCTGCAGTATATGGTTCAACAGCTGTAACGTAACCAGCTTTTCCTGGTCAATACTGCATTATTAGCACTTGGATAATATCTAGTTGATATGGGTACCTTGCAATACTCATCTCCTGTCCAAAGTCTTTACTGGGCATGGAAGAGGGGAAGGAATTCTCTACCTTGATGCTTGAGTGAAAGTAGAAAATTTCTCAGCCCTCATTTGCAACTTTTGTGTATTTTGCAAATATTTGTTCATGGGTCTAAAACATTTCAGAGGCATATATAAATCGAATCATGTGGGTGATACCACTGAAAATTCCTGAAGCAAAAAGGTACTTTAACTTCAGAATATACTTGAACATAGTGCAGTTGCTAGAAGGAGAACATTCCCTACTGCCAACAATGGCTAGGAT